GTTCTTTCTTACCCCCTGTAACAGATGCGCTGTTTATTGCCCTGTTTATTGCCTGGTCTTTGGATGTATAACATTGTTACAATTGAACTTGCAACACTTTAACTGGAAACATACGAATTGGAAATGAACAGCTCTATTAACTTGTTCGTCTAAACGAACAAACTGTCGAACAAGAGACCACCCAGACCAGTCGTGTGCCACCAATTGACTCTGTGCCAAATCGCAATGTTCTAAGTGGTTCACTGGGTGGCCGTCGATTCGTATGCACGAACACGTGGCGGCGGCCATCTTGTTTTGTCGAATTCGTCCAGCGGGATTTGGTCATCGAGTGTCTGGAACTATTTTCGGACACTCGAACTCCTAAACACTGCTGAGACTTCCAGGACCACTTAGCTTCATACACATTCATACTAAAGAGTCGGCGTTCGGTAAAAAATTACACGAACGAGGCGGTACACGACCACCAAAGGCACAAACACTTATATGAATGGTTGTTCTGTATTTTGTTAACATACAAAAGGGACTGGCCACACCAGCTGAATACATGGAACTATTTTGGGCAGGAGCCTCGTGTGCGGCCGGGCAGAAATTCTCCCGAACCCCTGAACCGATTCGCATGATTTTTTAGTGTTTGTCCCCTAATTATGCCCATTCAGAAAATATAAGTTTTATGGGAATTGGATGGATAAATTTAATGTTTTTAAAAATGTATAAAAAGTTCATTTTTTTTCGCTTGGAGACAATTGAGTTGATACAGTAATTAACTCAATTATCTCCCAAGCAGAGGGGAGGAATTTACACTAATATATGGGAGTGTTTAACTTTGTGACTGTAAACTATTGGCTGTTGAATTTATTTCTCGCTGCCCCACAAGTGCTAACCTTGTGGGAAAAGTTGCATAAAAGGCCAGCCTGGCACATTAAACCTTTTCTGCTTAACCCTCAATACGTAGCCTTGTCTCGTTATTGTAGGGTGTGACGAAGTGCCCTTCGCCACTCGTGCCTGGAGAGGACTGCTTGCCCGCCTCTTGCCCTGTGACTATGGCCCCTGGGATGTATTGCCCTTTAAAGACATGATTTGGGCATAATGGATTTGTGTTGTGCTGCTGCTGGCCCTTTAAGAACCATCTGGGGACATACTGTGGAGTTACTGGGTGGCCACCATTTCCTGTATCAGAAGCACATGGTGAGAACAATGGATGGCGGCCATTTTAACTCACAGACACTGTTTGGACTTTTCAACACGGTGCCATCTCGCCAGTATTTGATGCACAGAGACATCGTGCAGTGGTTTTGGACTATACAGCAGGGGACACATTATAAAGTGATTGTTTTTCATTTAGCCTTTATATGTTCTGCAGAATCTGCATTAAACTGTATTTTCCAAAGTACTGAACGGATCTGGGTGAATTTTGGATATGTGGTTCACCCAGATCCCCCGGTTCCAAGATATACTTTTTATGGGGTTATTGCATGTTTTGGGGTCCCTGTGATGTATATTTTAGAAGTTATGAATGCTGTAAAAATTGTAATGTTTCTGGCCAGCAGATAATTGAGCTTTGTGTATTGTAGAAACTCAATTATCTAGCCTGGCCCAGAGGAGGAGTTTTGTGTTGCATAAATTGTGAGTTCTGTGTGCCAGTAAATCAGTCTTGTTCCAGCATTAAGCCTTGGCTCATGTTTGGGGGAAGGGATACCTACACTCTGGGGATTGCTATAATCACTTACTCCCCAGAGGAAGCTCTTGCAATAGCTTGATTTGTTCCTGTTCCTGCTCTCTGGGGAAAGAGAGGTTCACCCACTGGAAGCTGGATCCTGGCCTTGGGTCCAGGGTGGGTGGAAACAGCAGAGACCCCGGCGCAGTTGCATCGCTGGAAGTGGGGTCTGCAGTGCTGATGGTGTCGGTTGGAGTGCTTGGAGTCCTCAGCGAGCACTAGGAGCATCGATTGGCGGAGGTACTCAGTCGGAGTGCCAGCGTTCCGTCACAATGATAATTTATTTCAATAATTATTGTTTAGAACATGAGAAAGAACAATTGACATTCATCAATTATTGCACATATTCACTTTAATATATTCACTGTCACTTTAATGAATCAATCTTTGATTGAATGATGTCAAAAAAACAAAAAAAGAAAACTAGTGATGTAATTAATAAAAGAAAAAAAATATTTATGCTATGTGTGACAGACCCATCTGTCTGTGAATTACTTTTATTTTCCCTCCATTCGTCTGTTTGTTCGGCTATTTCCCCTGTCCGTACAGCCCCTATGTTTATTTGCCCTTTTCCCGAACCACTGCCGAACGGCCGGCCACCCAGCAAGGAAGGACCTCTTGGTGCCATCAAAACATTGTGGTTTACCGCAGACACTTCCTAATTGTCAAATGTCGGCTGGGTGGTCGTCGTTCGTATGCCGACCACGAGGTGGCGGCCATCTTAGATGTACGAATGCCCAGCGGTGTTCGTAGACGATTTCATGGAACTAAAAATGGACACTTTTTCTCACGAACACCGCTGAAGCGGCCGACCTCCATTCCTCTATTCATCCAGCATACGAACGCTGGCCCGTTCTGTACTTTTTCTGCACGAATGGACTTACCCCAGATAGCTATGCAATGGAGCCCATTCGTATAACGAAAGACCACGTTAAAGACTTTGGCTCCATGGCGATTAAACTGTATGTATGTGATCTGAGCGCCATTCAGTAATAATGAGCCCTCAGATCTAAGCTATCTGGGGATACGTTAATTGTACCTAGTGCATTCGGTAGTTTGTAAGTTATATATTTTTATGTGTTTTTTCTGCCATATGTAAAATGGAGTTTTGCCTCTATCCTGTGAGATAATTGAATTACTTCCCAATTATCTCCAGGATAGAGAGGAGGGTTCTTCACAGCTAAAGGGGAGTGTTTATGCCTGTAATTCTGTGATTGGTTACTTTGTCATATTTGTAACAGTTTTCCACCAGGTCCTTTAGGGGAGTGTCCACCTGGTGGAAGGTCTGCAAAAATACCGGGCAGGTAGCCACATTAAAACCAGATCACTGCTTGACCCTCAATACAGAGCTTTGTCTCGTCATTGGGGGGATTTATATTCGTATGGTTTCCTGTTCGGCTGTTTGGATCGTGAAGTATTTTGTATGGTTCATGTTCGGCTAATTGGAGCGTTCGTTAGCTGCTTCTCCCTTCGGAAGGTGAACGTCCTTAGCGGTGTTAACCCCTCTTATACCTGGGTGTACCGTAACACTATGCAATAATCACATGATATAAGTTCATTTCCTTGCACTTTAATTCATGTTGAGGGTTCTGGTTAATGATCATCCATGCTATTAACAACCCTTCTCTTTAGCAAATCAAATACTTGCTGTTTCGTTTTACTAATACCATTGTTAAATCGTGCAATATCTTTGGCTACATCTGTGAACTCTATGGCACATATACAGCCGTCTTGATCTCTGTGGCTCACATCACTCAGCGAATGGAACGCGGAAGGGTTCAAAGGAACACACTTCCGGTTACGGTTTTCGGGAGATGTCTAATTACCAGCCGAGACATGGGAGTTAATTCTATGAAGTTCTACAGGTGATCCAGTGCAAGAAGGGAACCAGTAGGACCATGGAGGAGAAACAATGCCCTTTGAACAACCATTTTTGTATAGCGCACATTATTTGTTAAAATTGTATTACATTATGTATTGTCTATGTTTTTTTGAGATTCCACAGCTGTATCCCATCTGAGCACTGACAGGCTGACCCCCCACCCCTTCAACCTCTGCTGCATTGTGGGCAGCACTCATACATCTATTTCCAAAGACAACCTCTGGATGTGACGCTGAGAACATGCACTGAACTTAATTGGTCAACCATGGTGAGGCCTGTTCTGAGTGGAACCTGTCCTGTGAAACCACTGTATGGTTTTGCACACAGTGCTGCAGCTCATTTTCAGGGACTTGGCAATCTTTTTTATAGCTTAGGCCATCTTTATGAAGAGCAACAATTGTTTTTTTCTGATCCTCATAGAGTTCTTTGCCATGAGGCGCCATGATGAACTTCTAGCAACCAGTATGAGAGTGTGTGAGAGCGATAACACCAAATTTAACACACATGTTCCCCATTCACACCTGAGACCTTGTAACACTAACGAGTCACATGACATCGGGAAGGTAAAATGGCTAATTGGGCCCAATTTGGACATTTCCACTTAGGGGTGTACTCACTTTTGTTGCCAACGGTTTAGACATTAATGGCTGTGTGTTGAGTTATTTTGAGGGGACAGCAAATTTACACTGTTATACAGGCTGTACACTTACTACTTTACATTGTAGCAAGGTGTCATTTCTTCAGTGTTGTCACATGAAAAGATATAATAAAATATTTACAAAAATGTGAGGAGTGTACACTCTTTTGTGAAATACTGTAGATGGATGGATGGATGGATGGATAGATGATAGATAGATAGATAGATAGATAGATAGGAGATATGTGCAATTCGTTTAGTTCCAAAAGTATATTCGGACGAATTTCATACAATTCAGACATTTGGATGCTTACGAATGTCCAAAGTGCTGGAGTTCCGAATTTCCAAAGTTCTGAAGTGCTTCAGATTTCTGAAAAGTGGCAAAACAAGAGAGAGGGAGAGAAAATTATGTGAATAATGACAGGAATCTTGACCAATAAGCTAATTCCTGGCACTGGGAGCCCTATATATGTGTAAGTGGTTGTGGTGGCAGTCTGGGCACTGGGAGCCCTATAGATGTGTAAGTTGTTGTGATGGCAGTCCGCGCACTTGGAGCCCTATAGATGTGTAAGTGGTCGTGGTGGCAGTCCTGACACTGGGAGCCCTATAGATGTGCAAGTGGTTATGGTGGCAGTCCTGGCACTGGGAGGCAGGAGCCCTGTAGATGTGTAAGTGGTTATAGTGGGCAGTCCTGGCACTGGGAGATGGGAGCTCTATAGATGAAAGTGGTTGTAGTGGCAGTCCTGGGAGGCGGGAGCCCTACAGATGTGTAAGTTGTTGTGGTGGCAGTCCTGGCACAGGGAACCCCCTGCCAATTACTCTAATGGGCTGTGGGTTCCCAGTGCCAGGACTGCCACCACAACCACTTACACATCCCAATGCCAGAACTGCCACCACAACCACTTACACATCTATAGGGCTCCCGCCTCCCAGTGCCAGAACTGCCACCACAAGTTCCGAAGTACCGAAGTTTTGTTTTATAGGATATTGGGTGCTTGGCTTCCAACCACTTATTAGGGTTCTTTAAATATGCACAAGCACTTAACATTTGCAGCAGCTATTACGAGTGTGTATTTCAAATAAATTATCTAACAATGCTGCAAGCTCACATCGTTTCAAAGGCTCTAACACATAACTCAGACAATGAAATATTTTACTTTACAGGAGTCTACAGTGAAAAAGTAAAACAATGAGGAAAAGAAAAAAGTTTAAAATTTACTTAATCTTGAAGTCATAAAACATATACGCATCCTCTTAATGATTCTCTTCAATCAAGTTATGTCATCATGACTCAAAAAATAGGTACAATTTTAATGGGTAGGTGAACGTCTGTTTCGTCAGACTGACTCACCCAGCCATATTGTCACCAGCAGCATTTACTGCCCTGAATTACTCGTTGCTGGAGCATGGGGTAACTAGCAAAGGGCTGTGACAAGCAGCAAAGATTTGCATTTGTAAAGGACAATTATTCACAAAGATGTTTATCTTGAAAAGTCTTCTAGAAACCAGTTAATTCCCCCTTAGTTACATTTACCAAATGTCTGGGAATCAAGTCAGCGTTGTTAGGTTATGGTTACTCTAATACTCTGAGCGAGGGATGTGAGAGATAGGAGATCATATCATGAAGCAGTCCAGGAGAGATAGATCTGAAAATTTTGTAGCATAAAATATCAGAAGAATCCGGCCATCCGCGATAATCCTTTAGCTGTGAATAAATAAGGGTAGGTTGATTAAAAAAATATTAATATAGGTTAATATCAAAATATTATACATATATTATATTCCTATTACAATAATAATTCTTCATGAAGTCTTCTCCTACCCTACAGAGCTGCACAGTGGCACTGTAGACTGGGAATAGTATTGATACATTTTCTTAATATTAGGAATATATGGAATTGATAGGAGCCTAATAAATCAATAGAAGTCTGCGTGATGAAAATAACCAATTCAGCAGGACTCAGCTGAATTCATAGGAACAATAAAGCTTGCTGAATGTTTTGGCCACCAGGTGCCTGGACCATTTAATCCAGAGTCCAAAAACATCATGGACAAAATCCCGGAAATTCACAATTGTAGGAAACATGGGGTGTGAACAAGATTCAGACTCATCTCTCAGTATCATAGAGTGAAATAGCATTACAGTAACTATAGGTTAATTAGTGGGACTCACCACTATCAGTGATTTGCATAAAACATGCTTCTAGGCATATGCCTAGGAGGGATAAAGCAATGGCAGATAAAGATGTGGAATACCAATAACAGGCAGATAATATTCCCTGAGCACTGAATTAATAATCCGTTTAATTTGCCTAAAAATCCATTGATCTAGGACACACACAATGGTGCTTATTTACTAAAAACATTAACTTACACAGAGAAGCCAAATAATCATTACTGCATTCTAGCTGTAATCTAGTGGGCTGATTGTTACTTGTCCCATGGTTTCTTCCCAATAAACATGTTTCTTAAGTCAGTTATTAACAGTCTGCTCGGCCCGCTGTCCCAGTCATTATAACATGTTCCTCCATCCCACGAGCCGTGGGTTGGGGGAAGGGCTTAGTGGCCAGTTTATGTCTTATCCATGTATATCCATGTATTTGCATGTCTGTTTTTGAATCGTTACCTATTGTGCTGTGTATAGGGGGAAAGAGATGATTTAATGCTAAGGTCCCTCTGACCACACACACCTTTTTTTACATTTTGAAAACTGCATTTTGCCTTTTCTACATCACAGAAATTATCAGCTAATTGTGCTGAGATAAATCGAGTGATCTAAGAGCAGCTGATTGAACATGGTTGGTTGAGTCACATCCTAGTTTGGTAAGAGATCAATGAAGAAGCTGCAGAAATTGGACTTTGCAGCAAATGCAAGATCTTTAAGTATATTTTTAATTATTTTTAATGTCTTGCTCTTGCATATGATTTTTTTTAAAAATACATATGTAATACATGAAAAAAAATGTAGACCGTCCTGTCTGGAGAGTCCCCCTAAATGATTTTTTAGTCCGTCTGCAGGCACTCTGGGCCAAATAATAAACCCATATGTATCATCAATATTTGGGACTCAGCAGTACACGCGTGGGTCTTGCCATGATACCCCGTGTTGGGACTGTTTTTTAAATAGTCCGCAGCGCTGTAAAATGGGAAACACGGAACTGTAGGTGAAGAGAGCAAATGAGCTTTCAATTTAAAGATCAGATTAGGAAACAATCCAACTGGGTTCCATCTTCCTTGGAAAATTAAACATCCCCATTTATCTACATCCCATCATCAAATTCAACAACTCTGTAATCAGGCAGTAAAACTCCTGGAATCTGGCACTGAATGCAAGCTTCTGGGAAAATCACCAAATTTTTCCCTAAAGTGCAATTTGCAGGTAAATGCAATTCAGATGGAATTTTCTCCATATGTGTTTACTAATATGGAGTTTCCAAGAGGAAAATGCCCCATTTTCACCGTTTGTTTAGATGATCTTTGATCCATAGTGCTAAATCCGGGGATCAAAGTTCAGACCTCTATTGTATATATATATATATATATTGCCTTGACATAGAAAAATTAAATATAGAAAACAGTGACTTAAAGGAACAAGAGATCTGCTTACAAACAATCATGCAATCTGAAGGTAATTGGGAGACTTTTCTGCAGTAATCTATGGTAACTATGAAAATGTTTTTCTCTTCTAATGTGTTCTCTTAGCTATAGAAGCACCAGGATTGGCTGAGATGTTTCATCTGCTTCCTGAATGACATTATGGACATGGAGGAATATCAGAGCAGAAGTTTAAAAAATATTTATTTTCTATGGTTAAAAATGAATTGCAAAATCCTCCCCAGCATCCCCCATTAAATCAAGACTCCAAAGTGTTTATTGTACCAGAAAGATTATTATTTCTTTTTTGCCAAAATTCTTCATAGTGCTGTACAATAGGATAACAATATGGTATGCTAATTGTTATTAAAAGGCCATATTGTCTCCTCAATGAACCATTGATGATAACAGCTTATTAAGCATATTCAGAGAACGTCTTACGAGTGATTCACGAATCATTTTCATGTCCTCTGTTCAATGAATCAAAATTTTACCAACACGCTGGCTTTTCAATCTCCTGCCACCAATCAGAAACCCACGGGCCTACAAAATGACCAATACAATCAGTAAGGTAGCATATTTTCTCAATGAAAGTATCTTTTCATTTGAAGGGTTTCAAGATAATTAACTGAAGCTGTGTCAAGTGTTCATTCTCCCAGGATTTGTGGTACAAGAGCAACCTCTGCTGTTTGCAAGATATTTAGCAGACGTACATAAAAAAGCTTTACATTGCAAATGTACAGTATGTATCATGGCACCTGGATCAAGATAATAAATATATTTTAATAGACTTGTGTTTGGCAACAAAATCTGGCTTGGCCAAACCATTTTTTCCCAAAACAGAACATTTTTCAGGGTGCCCAAATTTTGTCCAAATGACGGTCCAGCTCGGCAGAATATTTGTATCAAAAATCTAATTCAGGAACAAAGGCACATTATTATTATTACTATTTTATTATTTATATAGCACCAGCAAATTCCGTAGCGCTGTACAATGGGTGGACTAAGAGACACGTAATTGTAACCAGAGATCAACCGAAAGCGAGTGAAAATGGGTTAATCAGTATATTGCAAAATATGTACATAACATAATACTATTATTATTATTATCATTATTATTGTGTTATTATTTATATAGCGCCAACAAATCCTGCAGCGCTTTACAGTGGGTGGACGAACAGACATGTAGTTGTAACCAGACAAGTTGGACACAGAGGGGTCGAGGGCCCTGCTCAATGAGCATACATGCTAGAGGGAGTAAAGTGACACAAAAGGTAAGGATAGTATTAGACCAATGACAGGTGCAAGAGAGGAATCAGTCAGGAGCTAACAGTTTAAATGATACACTTTTATGAAGAAGTGTTTTTTTAATGATTTTGGAAGGAGTGGAGACTGGGTGAGCATCTACCGGAGGAGGTAAGTGAGTTCCACAGGAATGGTGCAGCCCTTGAGAAGTTTGAAGGTGAGCATCAGAGGTGGGACTATGGACAGAAGATAGACGTAAGTCTTCAGCAGATCGTAAGGGCCTAGACGGGACATACTTGTGTATAAGGGAGGATCGATAGGTGGGAGCAGCATTATGTAGAGATTTGAAAGCAAGAACCAGAATTTTAAATTGAGCCCTATATCTTAGAGAAAGCCAATGTAGGGACTAACAGAAGGGTGAGGCGTGGGAAGTGCGGGCGGACAGAAAGATGAGCCTCATTCATTATGGACTGTAACGGCACAAGTTGGGAGCATGTAAGACCACTGAGACGCGGATTGCAGTAGTCAAGGTGAGAAAGGACAGTGGAATGGACCAACACCTTAGTCGCATCTGGCGTTAAGTAGGGGCGGATGCGCGCAATGTATTTGAGATGGAAGCAGCAGGATTTGGCGATAGACTGAATATATTGCTGTACACTAATAGCTGAATTGTGTCGCCATTTGGTTCACAGTGAGAAAAAGTAAACAACAGAAAGAAAAAACGGAGAAGCAGTAATAATCTATGTTTATATTACATATTTAATAAATATATAAGTATAGATTTTTAACTGATCATTTGTTCCCCCTCACTTCATCTGAAAAAAAATCAACATTTAGTGACTGTCTCCCAGCCATCACTCATCTATATTCCCATTAGTGTTTTTGGCGTCTCAGTAGAAATTCCTGAAACAAATTGAACATGCTCGTCCATTGCAGTTTTCGTTTGTGAGTTGGCTACATTTCGTCTCGCAGTTCGGGAATTCAAACTTTCATCAGATTGGCCAGAAATTAGATAAATCTCCAGGTCCATTATTAAATC